GCATGATCATAAAAGGTAAAGAGGTCAAGACCAATTGTACATATTTTTTACTGAATTAATTATACAAAATACATCTACAAATTTACAAAAATAAAGATTAACCATAAAACTAACAATCATTGGCAGGTGCACATGCGAATTATTAATTATAAAAGTTATTTTTTTATCTAAATACAAAATTGACTTGGATATTAATATAATTTTTCCCTTCTCCTCCTCCTCCTCCTCCTCTTTCTCCAACACCTTCTTCATTTCAATTTATAATAAATATTTATTTTTTATATTTTTTAATTATTTTTTCATTTATGTTCAATATATTTTTAAAAATTTTAAAAATATTACTAACAGAGTTATCTACATAATAACTCTATTAATACATTCCAAAGAAAGTTAAAAAAGAATTATTATAAATATCATTATTATTATTAACTCACCAACAAAATTACAGATAGTATTCTATAAGTAATATATTATATTTATCAATGAATATACTAACAAATAAATAAAAATATTAATAACATTATATATGATTTTTCAATTAATAATAAGCTAAATTTACCGATAAAGATATTAACAGAACAAAGCAGATAATTTATTTTTTTGACATACTTTATTTGTTAATAAATCCATTAATATATTTATTACTTGAGATATTTTAAATTACTGAAGAGAATTTTTTCAAAAATATTATGGACTCTTTCTTTGAAGCACATGCATCTTTAATATAAGACGCCAAGCCTCACATTTGGCGTAGGATGGATTTATGGTGGTTGATTCTTATCAGCATGGGAAGACAGAGACAGTGATGGAAGCGAGAGACAGAATATCGATCCTTTCCGATGGAGATGCAAAACGAATCCACCTCTTCAGCCCCTCTCCTTGGATGGTTAAAAGGAGGAGATGTGACCACGGCTCAGAGAAGATGTCAGCGAGGGATCGATCGGTGAGTGTCGCAAAAGCTCCTTCATGAGGCGGGTGAAGGGATGATTAAACTGCGAATCGTTCTCTTTCTTCGGTTTATCTATGTATATTATACTTGTAATTGTAATTTTAAGAACAATTAAAAGACCTGGAATTTGATATCGCGCTACACTGACCTAGTTTTTTTTTCTTAAAAAAAATTAATTGAATTTTTTTAGTCTATTTAGATAAAAGTGGTTTAATATTATAATGGCCATACCAAATTAAAATACAAAAGACTGACATGCCAAACATGAGGAAAAAACATGATTAATTTTAAATTCATGATAATTTTTATTTTGATTCTAAAATTTATTTTATTTATTTTTCAATTTTGGACTTAAGAGAATTAACAAAAACTCATTGAAAAATAATAATTTTTTTTGATATTTTTCATGATTTTAATAACTAAAATAATTAAACTTAATATTCAAAAATTCCATATAAAGAAAGTAGTTAGATATAGATACATGGTGATGATTTTATTTTTTTTATCTTGCATGAAAAAACAGATGGGGCTCAAGATAAATTTTTTTCTTTACCAATTTTTAAGTTTTTTAAATTGATAAGTTAGTTTATTAAGGTTTTTAGAATATTTCTTAATTAGAGTTTTTATATCAAAATATGTTAAGAAATAAAATTTTGAACCAAAAAAAAACTTCACCTAATTTTTCCAACCACCTCTAGGTGGTTAAAATCTAGGATTGTAAATAACACATCATCAGTATTATTTTTTTGATTTAAAAATAAAAATATACAGACAACTACCTATTATTATAGAAAATAACATAAGTGCATTCCAGTGCTTGGCTTAGCGGTGGAAGGGGTTTGTCTCCTTTCATTGCACCTGGGTTCGAGCCCTAGTGTGCACGCATGTCATTCCCGCGGTGCCTTACATGCCTACTAGGTTTGCAGGGTATTCAGTGGGCAGTGGGGATTAGTCATAATGCGCGCAAGCTGATCCGAACACCCCACATAAATAAAATAAATAAATAACATAAGTCTAGATAAGACGGCCTATATTTACATGCCTAAGCATGCCTGACGTGCTAGGTCTAGAAATAGAAATGCTTGTTTTTTTATATATAATTTTTTTAAATTAATATCCTTCCTTTTTTGTATGTATGTTTTAGTTTATATTATTATTTTTATTTAAATTTAAATTAAAACCCTCTTTTTGATTCTTTAAGTTATCTTGTTCATCTTAAATTTATTTTATTAAATATAAATAACATCTTTATATTTTTCAATTAAAAAAATATGTTATACAATAAAACACATCTGTGATACTAATAAATTTTGCTACGATGTGAATATTTTATTAGCTTAAAACCATACCCGCATTCATAGTATGGTTTTTAAAACTAGTAGCAAACTAATTCACGTGTGATTCATTCTTTGAGGGCAGCCTAATCTGCTCTGAAGATATTCAACAATTTGTCGTCGCTCTCTATATATTACAAGAAATAATACACAAGTTCGGTTGTTTTAGATAATTTAAAGAACGAAAGATTTTGCACTAACGACTAGCCCTAGTTTTAGTATGATGCTTCAGCAATTAGTTAAGTTTAAAAATAAGTTTAAGATAAACCTAAAGTTATTTTTGCATGAATTTTACAAAATAATTTAAGTTATTTTTTATTTTTTAAAAAATTCATAAATAAATTAGATTAGAAATGATTTTTAATTTAAGTAAAAAACATTATTATAAAATTGAATCAAAACTTTAATTTAAGTATTCAAAAATCAAAACTTCTAACTTATACTATGATGCTTTTTTGTTCGGGTAGAAAAGACATACTGCTAGCAAGCTATTCTTTGCCGTTAACTATGTAAAAAAAACCCTATTCATACTCTGGTGAACAACATGGTCTGAAATCTTGGTTGTTTTTTTAAAAATAATTTTTGAAAAATAATTTTTTAATTATTTTTATGTTTATTTAATTGGTCAGTAAATAACATTTTATTATTAAAAAAAGTATTTAATTTTTTTTAAAATATTTTTTTTATCTTAGACAAAAAATACTTTTAAAAAATTATAAAAAATTTAAAAATATTATATTATTTTTGGTACTCAAACTTTTAATTACTATATATTTTGTTTGAATCTTTTTTTCTTTCAAATTTATTCCTTAAAATATAATATAATTTGATTTTTATATTAACTTTAGTTTTTATTTTTATTATTAATATTTAGTTTTTTTTTTATTTTTAAATTAAAATTTTTTATTTATCAAATTTAGTACTTGTTCTTTTAATTATTACTAATTTTATTTAAAATAATTTATAAAATTATTATTATTATTATTATATTTGTTAGATTTGATCTCTATTATTTTTATAATTACTTATTTTATTTTAAATAATTTATAAAATTAATTTTTTTCAATTTCATTCCCGTTTAATTTTTTAATTTGTAAGAATTGTTTTTTATATTTTAATAAACTTAAAAAATATTAATAAGTTATTTTTCAGCTTATTTTTTATAATATAACTAAAAAATAAAAAATATTTTTCAATTTACTTTCTATAATACTATAAAATATTAAAAAATAATTTTTTTTAAAAAATAATTTTTTTTAATATTTTATAGTATTATAGAAAGTAAATTGAAAATATTGATGTAAATATGCCGTCACTGGAAAACCGTTTACTTGTCACGTGCTTGTTGGTGCCTGCCTGGACAGGGCACAATCAGTTGCATCCATGCAATTGACAACGGAATCTTTAAATCAAACGAGCTACATGGCTTCGATTCGGTTCTGTAAAAATGTAAAATATTCACTTGATGGCTTCCCTGTTAGTCAAATAAATCAAGCTTATTACATCCTTGAACATAGATTATTTTTATGAACAAGCATGATCGATTTAATATTTTATTTAAAATATTAAATAATAATATAAATTATATATCAAAGCATCAATATTTTAAAATTTTAAATTAATATAATTTTTTAATATAATATTAAATTTTTATTAACTAAATAATTATAAATTTAAATCTCACAATTTTTATTTTATTTTAATAAAATTAAATATAAGATAGTGCGGAGTTTTCAATTAAAAAGATATATTTAAAAATAATATAAATTATATTTTAAGATTTTATTTAATAACTTAAATTTTTATATTAATATATTAATATAATATATTTTAAGCAACATTTATTCTTTACAATTGTATAAACTTGCATTCGTGCGGCAAAAGTAATGATTTGTATAAAGTGTGTGCTTGGTAATACATCACAAAGTATTTTTTAATTGAAAATATATTAAAATAATATTTTTTTTAATTTTTATTTTTTATATCAAACCAATACAAAAAAAAGTTAAAAAATATTAATTTAATATTTTTTAAGAGAAAAACTATTTTGAAAAACATATTCAATTACAAAAACAAACTCCTCCACTTCATACTTGGAAAAAGTGATCTCTTCTATATATATATATATATATATATATATATATATATATATATATATGTAGGATTCAGATATAAAACTTAACTTCTACAGTTAATCTAGTTTTTTTTTAAAAAATATTTAAAAGAAAAACTTGTTATTTTTAAATTTATTAGTATTTAGTTAGTATTTTTTTTTAAAAAAAAAGCAAAAACAGAGTGTGATTGCAGGAGTAGTTAATTAGCGTTTAGGAAACTATTATTTTGTTATTTTATAAAATAACTCTACATCCATTTTGTTTTATTATTATTGAAGTGATAGACCCGTCACATCCACCAATTTCCCTTTTCCTTTCATCAAACAAGCCCCGAATCCAAGCATGGATAGTGGGTAGAGAGGGAACGATGATCCAATGCACAAGACAACGAAAGGGGAAGGAGCAAACAAAAGCATACGTGTACTAATTATCATGTGAACAGATTTGTGACCACCATGGATATACTCTATCCAAGAAGAAAGCATGACGCGTGTGCTCTGATATTTTCAACCTATTCTCCAATCCATGTAATGGTATCTCTTTCCTGGACGAACTATATAAATAGCTGTCCTCTTGCCTTCCGAGTAGAAATGCAGAATCATGTGAAAAGATACACAGAGACCCTACTGGTAGCCAGAGACTTTAATATTCTTCCCCACCACCGTTTCTGTCATCAAGTCTACACAGATGGACAGAAAACAATTGCAACACCAGGTCGCCTACACGAGGAGGTCCCTGTTTGATCAGGTTCTCTACACCCTCTTTGCAATGCATGAACTCGTCATTCTTATCTGGATTGTTTTCTTCTTAAGTTCTTCTTTTAAGAGAAAAAACTATGTACAGTTTGATGATTCGTAATAAGACCTCGCTTAACCTAATAGGTTTTAACTCGGCGGCCTGCCAATTATAAATTTATGCCGGTTCAATCAATAAAAAACCTTTTATTTATTTATTTATCAAAATAATATTATTTTAGATTTTATTTTTATAAAAAGTTTAATGATTGAATAAATCTAGGTCAACTCTCCAGTCACTATCTGAATATGAGACCGGACCAATCATCTATCAATATCTTATAACTATAATTTAATGCCAAATCTCTATTTCCTTTTACTTTTGTTTTACAAATCTATTTACGAATAGCATTTTAGCCAAATTATAAATCCAAATATTTTGAAAAAGACATAAACTACTTTTAATTAAATTTACCTGTTGCTGTTTTTAGTATAGTTAATCAACTCCAAACTTTTGTATTTTATTTAATATTATAATATATATATATATATATATTATTTATTGTTATATTATATTGCTATACTAATAAATTTCAATACTTTTTTAATTCTTTTATAATAAATTTGTTTTGTAGCTTAATTGCCAAGTTTTCTGGCCGGTGCCAAGCTTAATCCTATTTATGTCTTCAAATTATTTTTGATCGCATGTATACAAACTAGTTAGTTATATGTATCTCATCTTTTGTATAACGGTTATTTTACATTTTGATTCTTAGATATTTTTGAAATTTTATTTGGCTTTTGATTACATTTTTTTAATAAATAAATTCGAAATATTTTTATCATCACATCTTACAGTAATCTTGAATGATTTTTTTTTTCTAAATAAGCCCGTACATGTCAAATATAAACTTAGTTATAAATATTTAAATAATATAAATAAGTTGATGGATAAAATAAGAGTTAAAATGGTTTCAAGTAGGTATACCTATTTATATTAATAAAGAAAGTAAAGAAAAATTCTCATATTATAGGTTTAAATCAAGAAAATAATAAAAAAAATGAAACAAAAAATTTCAGTTTGTTCTATTTCCATGTATCCTTCGTCTAACCTTAGATTATAGTCATGCTCGGTGATTCAAACTAGACCATGTTTATTTTATGAAAAGTAATTTTTTTAAAAAATATTTTTAATATTTTTTAAATATTTATTTGTTATTTAAAAAATTGATCAATGAAAAATATTTTTTAATTAAAAAAAAATTTGGTTTGGTTTGGTTTTCAAGAAAGTATTTTCCTTTTATTTTAGCGAAAAACACTTTAAAAAAATTATGAAAAAATTAAAAATGTCATGTTATTTACTGATTATATCAAATTTAATTCTCAAATTTTTTATTACTATATATTTTATTTTGAATATTTTTTTCAATTTCATCTCTTAAAATTTGATTTAATTTAATTTTTATATCAACTTTGGTTCTTTTTTTATGATTGTTATTTTCTTTTATTTTCTTAATTGAAATTTTTTAACTATTAGAATTAGTCCTTATTTTTTTATTGTTATTTATTTTAATTGAAATAATTTATGAAACTGTATTTTTTTAATTTCATCATCTTTCAACTTTTTTATTTGTTAGATTTAATTTTTATTTTATTTTTTATTATTTATTTTATTTGAGATAGTTTATGAAATTAGATTTTTTTAAAAAAATTATTCTTATTTAACCTTTTAATTTGTAAGATTTATTCCTCATTATTTTAATAAACCTGAAAAAATATTAACAATTTATTTTCCAGGTTGTTTTTCATGACATAATCACTATAAAATATTTTTTAGTTTATGTTTTACTATACTATTAAATATCAGAAAATAATTTAATTTTCAAAAAATTATTTTTCAAAACAAAATTATTTTTCAATAAATAAATAGGGCCTAAATAGTTTGCTAGGGCCTAAATTGGCCAGTTTGCTACTATCAAGTAGTAGAAGAGATGTTAAAGTATTAAGTTCTGAATTTTGACTAGAAATTAGTTTGTTACTATTAAGCAGAAGAGATGTTAAACTATGAAGTTCTGAATTTTGACTAGAAAAAAGATAGAAAAACAAACGGAATTGCCCAAAGACAAAAAATCACGCTTTAAACTAATAGAAAAAGTCAAACTTTATAATCGATGATTGCAGGGATACCTTGATGACCAATTCATTCAGCTCGAGCATTTGCAAGATGAAGCAAACCCAAATTTTGTCGAGGAAGTTGTGAGACTGTTTTACAGTGATTCAGTAAGATTGATTCAGAACATTGAGCAGGCGATGTAAGTATACAATATATAATCAACATTTCAATCCACATCACTACTGCAATAACAGTTGTAAGAGCGATTCTTTTGCCTTTTTCATGCTTTGCAGGATCAATAAGCCTAATATTGATTTTGGTAAGCTGGATGACTACATGCATCAGTTCAAGGGTAGCAGCTCAAGGTAATCAATTAACTGTTGTAGAAAAGGAGATGATCGTTTAGCATTTTGCTTGACCTGAGCTTATCTGCGGAAAATTATTAATGATTTGCAGCATTGGAGCTAAGAAGATGATGAAGGAATGCTCAAAGTTCAGGGAATATTGTTGTGCAGGAAACATCGAAGGGTAACTAACATCCTTTGCTCTTTATTTTTCAAGGTGCTGCCAGTTTTTTGGTCTTGTTCAAGTGGTCTGTCGATTTTGCAGATGCATCAAGACATTGCAGCTACTCAAGCAAGAGCATGCCACTTTGAGGAGGAAGCTAGAGACCTACTTTCAGGTCTGTGTGTCAGCACAAATAATTCTAATGTCTTTCTAATATAGTTCCTAAATTGCTTCTACAATGTGCTGTTTGGAAATTTTTCAGCTGGTAAAACAAGCTGGACTAGCCTAGAGTGCCTGAAGTAATAATACAAGAGACCAGCAATCCTAACCAGCATTTTGTGGAATAATTTTTGTAGACGCATAAAGCTGGATTAATATACTTTTGAGCTATATGTTATGGATTCGAAAATCTCACTACTAATGATTCCAGTAATTTCTCATGGCTTTTATCCGTGCATGATGATGTATGATAGAGTTGCATTGCAAATTGCAAAGACAGAGAGCACCAAGGCCAGGCTCTCATACGTTTAGCAGAAACTAATGTATTGTCAAAAGGATGATCTAAGCGATGTTTATCCAAGTCATTAAACCCAACCCGGCTCAGGTCGACTCAATGCAAGGCTCTCGTTACGGGTTGGTGAATTAACCCCTTGTCAATCAAACATCCTTTGATCTTGTTTTGAATATTTTTAAAGAAATTAATGGTTTTTAACTAGGTTAATTGGATTACAAGTTGGCTGACCCATCAATGTGATTAGATCTAGTTAATTCAAGATTGATTTTTTTACACGAGTCAAAGACGGGTCAATTGGGTCTTGCCTTGCCAAGCTAAATTCAATAACAATGATATATGGTTATAAAAAAAAAAATAGAATTGAAGAGAGAACAAGGGAAATTAAGCCCGATGGGTTTTTGTTCATTCTTAATTTCTTTCGGAAATCAAACTTTACTCTATATTATTGTAGATAACAGCAACAATTTCAATTTCCAATTCTTAATTTCAATTAAATCTAAAAATTAATTAACAGCAGCACCCACCAGCAACTAATTGAATGCAATGCCATAGTACTCGCGGTCGCAGAATCAGTGGTAGCAAGAGTAACGACGCCACCGAAGCCGAATGACTCGCGCTAAATATCTGGCCTTGACTCGATGCCTCTTGATCAGCCCGCCATGACTTTTCTCTACAAGTCAATCTACGTTCTATCTTGTCTGTGGCCAATTAAGCTTGATGAGGAAATCGAGATTTATAATTTAATTCGATCATCTCACGTAAAGAGTACTCTACATGGCATGCGCAGGTTATCTCACACCACTTGCAGTACTCCTATATATGATATATCCCTATGGTATAATCATAAATATTTTATAATTTAGCGACATTCAAAAACTCACAAGACGATTCATTATTTACTTATTCATTGATATCATACATTAATACAGTTGGATTAATTATCATCTCAAGTCAAATGCGAGATATAGAATGTTTTTCAAAAGTATGTTTTAATTAAAAACACATTATAATATATATAATTTTTAACATTAGTATATTAAAATAATTTAAAATCATTTAGAAAAATATTAATTTAATATTTATTTTAAAAAATAATAATTTAAAAAGCATGTCCGGCCTTAAAATAAACACTTCATCATGAAGCCAATATAACAAAATAAGATAAAAAAAATAGAAAGACTTTATTACCTATATATAGGCTGAAAAAATAATTCCTTGTTGCTTTTTCTTAGAGTTTGTTTAAAAATGTCTACTACCTACATATGTTTTTATCATAAGTGGAGATTCATTAAGAGTTGTTTAGTATTATGTTAATTATTGCCTTTTAAAATATTTTTTTGTTTGTAAGTACATTGAAATAATATTTTTTTTAAAAAAATTATTTATAATATTAGCACATCAAAATAATTTAAAAAATATTAAAAAAATATAAATTTAAAACAAAAATAAGTAAAATAAAATCTTAATTTTTTTAGATATTTTAATTTTAAATACAAATACAAATAAATTTTACAGCTACTTTTAGTGGTTAAAAGGTGGTTAGCAAGACAATAACAATACAAACATGACGAAGCTCACAAGAGGGAACAAAACTTAAAATGGGAAAGGAGAAGCGGCAAAAAAAAACCGAGCGTTGTGGAAAGATCAAGCCAAAATGCAACTTCACCAGTAGATAGAGCACTCTCATCTTCTTTTACAGTAGAATAAAATCTAAGTATCTTTACCCTCTCGTTTTTTCTATTTAAATATTAATATATTTTTTTTTTAATATATACTTGTATCCGTAAAATTCAACCAATCAATTACTTCCATTGATTTTATTGTCAGGATTTTAAAGTGAAAATTTACATTTTGCTCAAAATGCGCATAGGATTTGGAATATTGATTATTTGAATTCCAATCAAACTTGGAGAACATTATCTCCTTTTGCTCTGAATTTGTCAATGTTTTATAAAAATTATTTATTCGACAGGGAGCTGGAGAGTTTTTTATACAAACTTAATGTAAATTATAATAATGTATTATCAATTAAAAAAATATAAAAAGTAGCGATGTATATTACATAATTTAATCGTTATGATTAAAACATGCAGGACGCCGGTGGTTGCTGCAATGACATGTGATAGTTGATATGATGCTGAAAATAATGATGAGGATTATAGTAATATCAACTTTATGATGATTGTTATTTTATTGATAAATAATGATATATAGTTGTGGGTGATAATTATATGATATTGGTGGTTCTAGTAATATGATAGCAGCAAATATTATCAATTTTACTCCTGTTTGGTAATATTATCAAATATCTAAGCAACCGAAGTTTTTTTACTAGAATCCCCCCTCTCAAAATGTATATTTAAAAGAAATGTAAAGAGAGTATTCAAATCAGGGGAGAAAAAAATTAAAATTTATCCTTTTTGGTTATGATTTCGATAAAATAACAAAGAAAAAATAAATATTAAAAAAATAAGAAAGAAAAATAAATCATTGTTAAATAAAACGAAATTGTATCCCTGTTCTTATAAATAAAATAACCCGTTTTGTGATAAACTAATTTAATCACATTGAAACATGCAAGTGGATTTTTTTCATCTAAGAAATAAACATGGAACCAAGCAACAACAAATAAATGTAAATTGAAAGAAAAGGAGTATGTATCTATTGAACTTATTAATTAAGATGTATTTACTCCCTTATTTCCCTAGAAATAATGACCCGTAATATAACTAAAATAAATGTGATGAAACCAATTGTATCTCATAAGGTTGAGATTAGTAATTTCTTGGTTTTTAGCTATATAATTTAGCTTTTATGGACAAAATAGTTAATGAATTATACTGAATACCCGCAAAAGATGATCTCCTTCAAGTTTAGGGATTATTCAAATGAAAGAAAAAACAATCATCTTTTATAATAAAACCTTTTTTTCTTATATATATATATATATAGTAAAGAAAAAATCAAAAATTATGTTAGTGTTTTTTTTTCATGGAAGGAAAAATAATTCACATATATATATCAATCAAATATCTTTGATTTTTAAAGATAAAATATCCATGACTTATCAAAGTAAAATATATCTGATAATGGATGTATATTTTAATTTTATAATTTCTTTTCATTTATCTTATATCAAGATTTATATTTTCAGATATTTGTTTGGTTTTCTATTATAAAAAAAAATGATGTAGATCTTTATGAATCTAAATCTATAGTTTTTGTTATTGTAGATTTAAATTTAGATTATCTAGATTTAGATTGTTTGGTTTTCTCTCTTGTTGGATGTTTATTTTCTTATTTGTTAATTGGGACATTTCTTCCTTCTATATAAGAGTTTGGTAATTAATTTTAGATGGTTTGAAGATTTTGATAATGGTTAGCAGATTTGGATCTTCAATTAATAAGATTAAGTAGTACAACTCGATCGTTTCTTCATTAATTTATGGTGGCTTCAACTTATATACAGACGTGAGGCGCTATAAATTCCAGAGTGAAATAGACTCTCCTCTATATTAGGATTTTATTATGAAGGAAAGTTTATGATCTCTATCTGACCTTGCATACCAAAATCCATCTTTCTTCTGCTTGTAGTTTTAGACCATGTTCAGCTGTTTACTCTCCATCATATCCTGCTTTGAAACGATAAGGATTTATGAAAACAAAGCCTTCAGTTGTGCTGATGTTGGTATGGTTCATTATTCATAACCCAGATGACGAAAACTATAGTACTTTCATTAAAACAAGTGATCATGAGCTTGGCTACGAAAAAGCAACCAGATGCTTCTAATTATCACCATCATAATCTTGCTTTAATAAAGATTGTTAATCTTTCTTAGTACTAGATATATACATAACCGGGGTTATGTTCATTGATGTTACAAGTTCAATGAACAAGCGGCACATTCACCTTACTTCCTTTTTCTTAAACAAAAAGAAAAGAACTCGAAAGTCCTTGTCATGGCCACGAAATTAAGCTTGCAAATCCTACAAGTAGATAGGTAGGTAGGTGGTTAGGAGGAGAAATTGTAATGATAATAACAATCAAGGGGGGAAAAGGATGAAAGGAGAAAGCCAAAAGAGCATCCCAAAAGTGAAGTTGGAAATTATCAGTGCAGCTTTCTATCATATCTAAACAAGTGGGATGTAGGGGTCCGCAAGCCACCAGAGATGTTTGGTGTTGTGATGCTAATTATGAAGGGAATGACTTGATATTTTGTTCGATAAATTCATTGAACAATCCCATTGATTCCTTTGAAAAGAACAAGAATTGGGTTCAACATGTCAACATTTGGCAGGCTTACCTCCCCCACCCATGAAACTCCGGGTGGCAAAAGCATGCCAAAAAAGATGAAGCGTCAACAATTTTCATAATGGCTCCTTCACTAATTTACTGTGATTTCCGAGTTTTCTCAACCTTGGTCAGCTACTTTGGGTGCCATACTACTAGCACGCCATGCACACTTCTACATGCCGCATTAAAATAGGGCAAGCTAGTTGATGGTGGAGTGCGAAATGTACCACGCTCTTAAGCTGCTGCTGCTGCTGCATGTGTTTGAGACATTTTGCTGGCAGCCAAGAGGGTTTTCTTGTTAGTGGACCATTAGACTAGTGACTTATAAGTCATCTCTAACAGAGTCAATTAGCCACTGCCACACACGTTTTTTTCCTCCTTATTTGAATGGATTCAAAAGTCAAAAGCATTTGATTGCTAGTTATAATCAAGAGACATAAACTTAATTTGCCATTTGGTTGCCTCGCTGATCTGATGCTGTATAATATTCACCAATCTTAGGGCAGGCTTAAGAGCTGAGACCATTATCTGATAGAAGCTTGACAAAGAGCCTAGAGGGAGACATCATTAAAAAACCATTAACAGAATATTGTTGAAAAAGGACTGCTAAAATTCGTAATGTCATTGTCAGTCTGCCACAAAGGGTCCCTCATGGGAGGCCAAGACGCTGCTTCTTGAATAGATCAACACCATTGTTTGTCCAAGTAATCTTTGTGGCTTCGGTAGTTGGATAATGGAATTAATTAAATATCCATTCTTCATGGTAATTAAGAATGTAAAGATTTTATGATGACCATGAACCCCTCCTCCTCTTAGTCCGTGTTGCTGTGTTTTTCTACCCCTAGCTAGTCTGTCTTCTTGACTGAGAGGAAGGGTTTAAAAGTTATTTTATTTTTATAATAAGATATATATATATATATATATATATATATAAAGGATAAATATCTTTTACATAAATATTAATGAAAAATAAATATTTTCAAAACAAATATCATTGTGATAGGCCATAAGAAATTTTTGTAAATCTAAAGATGTGTAGATGAAGTATGATTCAGAATAAAGAGTTTGAATTAGACAAAAATTCCAATGAATTAAATGTTGGGTTCAGGCCACAAGACAAAAATTAGTAGTTGCAAGGACATGTGTGAAGGATCTTGATTAGTTTAGAAGGATTATCCTTCATGTTACTTTATCATCTATAATTCGATTTTAGAGGAGAATGTGCGAAGGAAACAAGTAATAAATTGACCAGTATTAATATAGATGAGCATTTAAGATTCAATAATGGAAATTTAATCTTGATGTACAGAATTGGGTTCAATGATGCTATTAGCATTAAAAATAATAATATAACTAAGCAGTTTGGGCCAAGAAATTTATGTTCATTTTCATAATGTTGCTCCGTACACTCTAATTTCCTTTTTATTGAAAATTAGTATATTGGTTTATGCTTTGTCACGGGTTAGATTAATATTTTGTTAAAATAAAAAATATTTATTAAGAGTATAAAAAATCTTTAATGGTGTTATTGAATCTGATCAAATGAGTTAATTTTAAAACCTTTCAACTCAATTCTTTTTCTAACTCGAGTATTTAATTAAATCGTATAAAAGTTAACTCGATTTAAATCAATTGATTTTATAGGTCCAAATACAACTTTAATGATCAATAAAAACATGATTGAGCTTATAAAAATACTTTAAAATGACAATTTTATTTAAAAGATATTAAGATAATGATCAACCTTGCCCCTCTGCAACCCGAGTTATGGACTTTATTGGGTTTAATAATTTTTTTATATATATATTTTAATTTAATTATATTATAAAAACAAATGCTCATAAAATTTAGCACCAACCTAAAAATAAACATTTATTTGAAACAATTATCCCTATAAAACAAACAAAAATCAATAATGTAATCCATTTCTCAACTAATCTAATATTAAATTATGGAATAAAACAAATAAATTAAAAATAATTAAAAAATCAAAAACAGAAAAAGCATATCCTAACAGTGAATAAACTCATCAAACTTGTGAATCGGGTAAGATGAGCTAGTATGTTAAACATGTGAACTGAGTTATAGACTCCATTGAGATAATAAGTTTTTTTAAAATTTATTTTTTATTTAACTATATGGTAAAAAAAATAGATGATTGTAAAATTATATACCAATTTAATACTGATATTTTTTTAGATCATGATAACCTCATAAAAGATGAAACAAAACTAATTATAAAACTGAATTCCCAACTAACCCAATATCCAAGGATAAAAAAATAATTTTAAAAAATTAAACTTGCTAGACCCGTAAACTAAGTTAACTAGCTAAACTTGTTAATAAGTTCATGGACTTTATAAATTTTAATAACAAAACCATTTTTTGAAACTATAGTTTTTAACTATACGAGAAAAAATTAGATAATAAAAAATCAAGTTCAAATAAATAAAAAAGTGACACCCCACCAAACTCGTAAATCAGGACAACCCAGGTTACTCTGACAAACCCGCAAATCATGCTAACCTTATAGAATAGTTAAAATAAAAATAAATAAATTATCAAACCACATTTTCAACTATATCAATATTAAAAGATGAAATCTACAAAAACAAACTTGAAAAAAATTATAACAAAAATTAAAAAACATAAAAAAAGGAAAGAAAGCAAAACATTGAGGATTGCTATTGTCATTCACAATGCGATATGTGTGGGTAAATAATAAATTTTTAATTTTTGTTACTTTATAAATTTTAATAACATGACCTTTTTTTTAACTAATTTTTAACTATATAAGAAAAAAATAGACTATAAAAACAGTTAAGTTCAATTAAAAAAAACCCACCAAACTCATAAACAAAGGCAACCTAAGTTATCTTGACAAACCCATAAACCATGTTAATTATATAAAAATAAAATAAAAGGAAGAAAATTATAAAATTAAATTCTTAACAATCTCGATTTTAAAAAATAAAATAAAAAAATAGATTTAAAACAAATTATAACAAAAATTCAAATAAAAAAACAGAAAGCAAACATCGTAGATTACTATAGTAATCAACAATGTAATGGATATTGGGTAAACAATGGTTTCCCCTGCATCTTTTAATTTTTATTATTTCATAAAGTTTAATAATATGATTTTTCTCACAAAATATTTTTTTAACAACATGAAAAAAAATAGATTATAAAAAAAATCAAGTTCTATTAAAAAACACACAACATCCATAAACTATAGCAACTTTAGTTATTTCGACAAACCCACAAATCACGCTAACTTTATAAAAAGATAATAAAAAGAAAAAAATATAAAATTAAATTTTCAATCATCTTAATATTAAAAAATAAATTAAAATTTTAAAAAAAAATCATAAAAAAAATACAAAACCACGTGTAAATAAAAAAATCAAAATAGTGATTTCCCATATCTTTTCGCTTTTATTGTTATCATGACAAGTTGAACAGAGTCAATATACCAACTAGCTTTATAACCCCCGAGCTAGCTTGAAAGATGATACTGTGCTTCCTTCTCTCGTGTAGGCCCTTTTGGTTGTTGGATATGCTGTTTGTTTTTCTTCTTGCTGAGGAAAATTAGATTGATTTTTAGGCTAGCAATAGAAAGTAATCTAGGAGTAATGGATTTCTTGTTTCTTTGTTGAGTGTTTTGATGTAAAAACTAGCTGTGTTGGGGTGGAGGAATAATCTACGTGCCTATATCATTAATATACTCGGGGGCACTTTCTCCTGTAGGCTTGTTGAGTTCTTTCCCGTCTCATTTCCTTTTGCAATTCTCCTCTTTCATTAAAGGTTAGATCACTGTTTTATTCCTGGAAAGGATTGAAGCAGAATATTATCAAGTTTGTCTGCTCAGCTCAATTTTCTGGTAAAATACTCGGTGTTTCAATATGGCATCTGAGCATAAAAGCCAAAAGGCATCAGAGGAAAAAAAGCTGGAGTTGAGGCTCGGTCCTCCAGGAGAAACATTCCTTGGTTACAAGACCAATCCCACCACTCATGGAGCTAAAAGAGTACTTCAACACCCTGTTGGAGCAAAAACATCAGAGGGAAACTGGTTTACGGATACTAATGTAAAGCAATGCAAGAAGTTCTCATGTTATCAAGAAGAAGCTGAAAAGGTATTCTCTTCCCCATGGTTAAGTAGCTCTTTACATTCTTCATCGTTTCACAGGGAGGCCAAGAAGGAGTTACAGAAGCCCAAGCCTTCATTTCTCCAGTGCTCTAAAGTTGAAGAGTTACAGTACCCAGATAAGATGGCATGTTCTCCCCCTGCTAGTGCTTCATTTTCTGTCACCACAGATGGGGCCAACAGCTGTCATAAAAGGTTACTTTTTTCAACTTTTTCTTCCTGTTGATGTGAATTGATCATAATCATTCCGTTCCAGTACTGTTACTAGCTGATTGATTCTCATAAACCAAATCTAGAGGATTAATTATGAAACAAAAAGGCAGCACACATGTACATGCATATGATTCTGTTTGATCAAAACAAAGTTACTCAAGTAACTGTTATAGATGAAATGATTTTGTCCATTCCATGATAAGTTGGTAACTGTGACCAAGTACAGAAGAATGGTACAAGTCGGATGCAGATATATAGGGTAGCTCAAAATGGTCTAGTTCATGGTATCCTGACATTCTAACAAGGTTTGACCACATCTGAAAATAAAGATCTTTACCATGTACATAATATCCGTTTCTGGATAGCATCTGATCTGCAGGTTGTCTCTTAACAATCATGCATTGACAAGTCAACCATCTAATGAAGCCATTTGTGTTTCATGTCATATCAGCAGAACTCATAGCTAAACAGTTCTTCTTTTTGGTAATGAATGGTGGTTACAACTTACAAACGCAGCTATGTACAATCCTTAACTTTTAAATTATAGGCATGTCTGGTTAGAAAAAAACTTTTGATTTAAATCAATAGTTTAATATAAATCGAGTCAAAATTTTGATTTAATCAGAAGTTAAAATTTTTAACTTGTGGATTATGACTTAAAACATATTTCTTCTTTGAAAAAGTTGTTGATGCGAGTCATTTTTACCTAATATGTTTCTAAGTTGAAGTTATTCTAACTTAATTTTATCATAAGTTATTTATAAAAATAACTTTTGAATTATGATTCAAAATCAATATTTATGTCAAATGGAATTTAAAATTTTTGTACCTAAGTGGATTTCTTATCATGAGATTATCTAGTCATCCTGTCATGTCTCTTGTAGTGAACAGAATCTTATGATGATAATTAAATTGAAATGTGGAACCAAAAAGTTGTATGAATAGAAAGTCATGCTGAGTTGAATTAGCTTGTTGGCTATAATTTGATGTTTGATTGATGTTTCTTTTCTGCTCTGATTTGTTGGTTTAAACAATCAGATGCGCACTTGCAACAGTAGTTGGGTGGCCTCCAATCCGGTCATTCAGGAAAAATATTGCAAGTAGCAGTACTTCAAAGATGGTATCTGAGTTACCAAATAAAACTCCAGAAGAAGGGAGCAGCTTAAAGGCTGACAGTTTCAGGAATGATTTGTTTGTAAAGATCAATATGGAAGGAGTCCCTATTGGAAGAAAAATAAACCTCAATGCCTATGACAGTTATGAGAAACTCTCTGTTGCCATAGATGAGCTCTTCAGAGGTTTTCTTGCAGGTTAGATACAAACTCCATCAGATCTAAGTGCATTGTGTTTATGCTGTAAATATCAGGTTATTTACTTGTTAGTTTCTTGTTTTAGCTCAAAGAGAAACTTGTGATCCTATGGATGAAAACAAGATGGATGAAGCGAAGGAAAATGCAAGTTCAGTTTCTGGTAGCAGGGAATATACTCTCGTTTATGAGGACAATGAAGGTGACAGGATTCTTGTTGGAGATGTTCCTTGGCAGTAAGTTTCAGTGTACCTCTCTTGTCAGTAGCTTTCAATTCTTTAATAATCTGTAGGCCTGGTTAACAATTGTCCACGGCTGTGCTTGGAGAGATCATTGAAGTATGATGGTTACTCCTTTTCTTTCTTCTGCTATTTCTGATTTTAAGGAAAATGTATGTCTCCTGCAGTATGTTTGTATCTACAGCGAAGAGACTGCGCGTACTGAAGAGCACTGAGAAAGGTGCGTTTACTTTAAAGTCATCGAGTTGATAACTGTCCAATGATTTTCCCTTTTTCTTTTTGCACTTTTGAGCTTTTAAGACTCGTGGTGGATCTTTGGCCATTTTCAGTTTCAGTTGGTATCAATAAGCAAGAAAAGACCCCACCTAGTTGTGCAGTAGAACTTGGAAGATGAGGTTTTGAGTGGAGAATGAAATCTTCAAGTGGGGAAATTTCCATAGAATGAAGCCTGACTTGGATTTCCCAAATGACGTCAAGTGGCAATCCTTTCATAAAGAGTATACCTTCCTTTTATTTCCTGATGCTGAAGAAGAAAATTGCAAACTTCCCTTGTCTGTCACCACTTGGGGAGCCAAATGAGCCTCAGTTTTTGTAAAATAAGTAGCCTGTTCAACCTTTGTAGAATAAGTAATTTGTGGATGCAAAAATACTTTGACAGTATCTTGTGATGTATGTACATGTATGGGTTCATTTTCAGTCTAGTTTCTTCATGGGGTTGATGGGACCTGGAAAACTTAGCAGTTCAACCAAGATTGATTTAATTCCTCCACAGTGTTCATCAAAATGTAACGTGATTCAGGAAAAGGCAGGAGGCTCTGTGAATTCGACAGAATGGAAGCAATGACCCAACTAATGGTGCTAAAACTGGAATACAAGAAAGGAAGTGAATCACTCAATGCAAGATATTAATGTGTCTTCTAGTATCCTCACGTGTTTACTCGGAAGATCAAGCAGTCTGTACTCCTCAAATGGTGTTATTGGTGCAAATTACCAAGCACATCGTAGTGGATCTTCTGCTGGCGTAGGATAATTTCATGTGATGTCTTGTCCTGTCCTTCGCTATCCTGTGTATGCATAAAATGCTCCCTTGTGTTCACCTTTGCTTAGGATTTATAGATTATTTTCCCCCTGTTGTATCCTTCTTAAGGCGAGTTTGACTTTGTGTGCAATTACTGTTCTTAATGAACTATGGACTGTTTTACTTTTCTTTTTGTTCTTCGAAAATTAGGTATGGGAAACAGAGATTTAATACAACAAAAGAATGTTTAATACATGAATTCAAGAACAGCATGCTCTTAAAATCCACTCGGTAAATATTATCTTAATCTGACACACAAAAAAGCTCAAGTTCACACACACTTGGACAACAAGACTGACACGTAACAAACATATGGCCGGACTGTAATTGTCTTTCTTGTCCCGTCATTTTCCACTCCTCGTATAGAATACTGATTGCAGGTAATTGACAACATTCTTGTCCAATTGGAAAGCCTCTGCGAGAACGTCACAAGGAACCTTTGGAGGAGACTCAAACACAGCATTTGCAATAGTAATGACGACACCTGGGTTTTGCCTGCACAAGGCAGCAAGAGCAACAGCATTGCCGTGTCCTGCATTTCTTTGGAAATGAGCAAGATTGATTGGGAATACAAGCTAGGGCGGAGACAAGAAGACAAGAATTTTTCCTGTCTGTCCTATTAAATAAATATATAATTTTTTTAAAATAAATTATCAATTAATATATATAAATTTTTAAAGTTAATAGTAAAGTTTTAATTTAAATATATTATTTAAATATTAAAAAATAAATTTAAAAGTATATAAAATTAAAATAAAAGTAAAATAAATTTATTATTAAAGTTACATCTTTCGATATTTTGTGAAATATAATTCATTTATAATCAAATCTTAATCGATAGTGTAATAACCCATTAACTAGGATAAAATAATATTTTTTTGTTAATTAAAAAATAAAATAATTAATTTTTTTCTCTTTCTCAATTTCTCTTTCTTTCACTTGATTCTTCCTCATATTTTATAAGTTAAACTTTGTAAGTTTACAAGGTTATTCTCTTATTTTTTTTTTTGAATTTTTTTATGTTTGTCCCTTACTTTTCTCTCTTTCTTTGTTGCCTTTTCTTTTTTTTTTTTCTTTTTCTATTCTACTTCTGCCTAGCAACATATAAAAGGAAGAAAGAACTATTTTTTTATTTTATTTTTTAATGGCAAATAACTATTTTACCCTTAATGAGTCGTTTTATTATTATTTGATGTTTTTTTTATTAGTACTACCAAAATTTGATCATTCTAAAATTTTAACGAGATTTTATTTAATATATTTTAAGATTCCTTATAAAATTTTAGCTCAATCTAATAGTCCGATTAAAAATTACATAAAATAATATAAAACTAGTCAAATTATGATTTTTTTTTTATCAAATTTCTGAATTTTTTCAAAAAATCTAAAATTTTAATCCAAGCTAAACTATTAAACTCCATGTAAAGTTTTAGAAATTTTTGATATTTTAATTGAAAATTATAAATTTTTTTATATAAAACTAATAAAAAAATATTAATAAAATCTTTACTATAAACAATCCAAACCCATACATGCCTCCGCCCATGAATACAAGCACAGCACCCTTTTGCAAGGCCCCGCTAATGAGACGGGTTAGATGTAACAAATCCAACTTCAAGACAACCGTCAAGGACGGTCAGGATTTTGGAGGCACGAGGGTGTGTGTTGAGGAGGGTTACTACCCCGTGATGCATAATCAATGCGTGCAAAAGCAATACCAAGCATACGGAACCTGTCTAGCGAGCAACATTTTGCAGCAAAATTAAATTTCTGAAATGAGGTTCTAGAAATTTCGAAATTCATAAATGGAGAGGTGAAGGATGAACTTATCTCACTCGTTTACATGCCATTACCATCTGCATCTGCCACGCAAAAATCTTGAAGTGAGCTTGGATCCATATAAATTAGAAGAACTATTGAAAAAGTCTTCGTACTCTTTAGTATGTACATTCATGCCGGCTATAATTTATTAATATATATAATAGTCTACATAGCCTATTTATATGTCAGAGATCAACAGGCTCTACAATCAATAAATTCAGAAATTTCTTCCGAACATGGTGAAACAATTCCCTCTTGTGCCAGCACTAACAAGCATTTGGGATCTTCCCATTGCAGTCTTCAGTTGAACACTCACAATTTGGGTTCAGAGCTAAGGATGCTTGATGATTGACGTCAATCAGAGCACAAAAAATCTGCAAGAAGTTTTGTGGGCTTCTGTTTTGCTTCATGCTTTGGCATGAAATGTACGAGATCTTGTCCTGCATCCGCTATCCATACCAAGCAGAAGAAATTGACGATCTAAAGCTAGAGCTCGATGCAATTGATTTCGCTGTAATTTGCATGTTCAAGAACTCACGGGGATAATGGAGGAAGCAATAGAAAATCAGCTAGTATTCTTGTACAGAGAATTCAAAGAACTTGTGTGGTTCCATTCACTAATGACATTGAGCTAAATCACTTATTCGCTAACCCAATTATAGAGTAATAGCAATGTGGTACAAATTGTTGGCTTGAGTTGTCCTCTACGAGATTAAAGGAGGAAGATCAGCAATATATTCATTAGTGAATTAAACCCATAAATATATAGCCATAATTGGAAGTTTACGTTATTTACGTGGGAACAATCTATTATATATATTCCCTTATTCATGTAAATAAAGTATTGAAAAACAGAGAAAGGTTTCTCTCTATTTTTTTCTCCATTCTGTCATGGTATCAGAGCATACCGATCCTTTTTAATATCCTACCAATCCTTCTTATCTCCTTCCATGGTTGATACTGAACCCCAAACCGAGGAATCTCTATCTTCCTCCATCCTAGCCGAATTAACTATGAAAATGACTGAAGTTTTGAACAAAACTTCAGCCCCAACCCAGACTTCTGATGGTGCAACTGCACCAATCGGCATCAAGTTGGATGGCACCAACTATGCACTTTGGTCCCAGGTGGTTGAAATATATATCTCAGGTAAGGACAAACTGGGATATATAAATGACGACCTATCTCAACCTCCTCAAACAGATTCTACTTTTCGACGATGGCGTACTGACAACGCAATGGTTAAAGGGTGGCTGATAAATTCCATGCATCCCTCTCTTATCAGTAATTTCATCCGCTTCCCTACAACTAAATTGGTGTGGGATGCAATTGCTACTACATACTTTGATGGCAGTGACACCTCCCAGGTGTATGACCTCCGGCGACGTGTGGCACGCCTTAAACAAGCTGGTGGTTCACTGGAAAAGTTCTATAACGAACTCCAAGGTCTCTAGCGCGAAATCGACTTTTGTCGTCCAAACCCGATGGAATGCCCAACAAATATTCAACATTACAATTCTCTTATTCAAGAAGAACGAGTATATGTATTCTTGGATGGTCTTGATGACCATTTAGATCATATCAGGTGTGATGTTTTGCAGATAAAACCATGCCCAACAGTATAGCAAGCCTATGCACATGTTAGGAGGGAAGCTCTTTGTCAAGCAATGATGACCACAGGCATTAATGATCTACCTGGAGCAGGCTTGGCGTCCAAAAGTTTCAAACACAGCTCACATTCTCTTTCTTTTCATGGTGGCAAATCTGTTTCCAACTCTAAATCCCAAGCCACCTCTGATGGCACTAAATGCTCTCACTGTGGGGGAGTAAAACATACTCATGAGACCTGTTTCAAACTTCATGGATATCCTGACTGGTGGCATGAGCTTCAGGCTCGAAAGCGCTGTGATGGAAATGGTGGCAACATAGGACAGGCTGCAGTGGCAATAGCAGCAGAACAACATCTGTCCCTTATTCCAGCGGCTAAAATCATTGGTGGTACTACTGGACAAGCTGCAGTGGCTGCAGCAGACCCACACTCAGGTAATGCTCTACTTGGTTCTAATCAGAAAGCTGACTGCAATGACTGGATACTTGATTCAGGAGCAACAGACCACATGACTTTTGATGCCTGTGATTTCTCCCAGCAATCCCCTCTAAGGCGAACTAGCATTGCAAATGCTAATGGAGACATTTCTTTGGTAATATTTGCTGGGACAGTAATGATATCACCAGCCCTATCATTGTCTCATACATTACTTGTGCCTTCTTTATCTCACAAGCTATTGTCCGTGAGTCAGATTACTAAAGCCTTGAACTGTGTTGTGCTCATTTACCTTATGTTTTGCCTTATTCAGGATATTCTCACCAGGGATATTATTGGGCGTGGTACTGAGAGAAGGGGTCTCTATTATATGGAAGATATCAGTATTGGACGATCACATCACATGCATCATTCAAGCGACCTCAAAATGAAACAAATTTTGGTCTGGCACCATCAGTTAGGCCACCCATCGTTTGGTTATTTGCAACATGTGTTTCCTGATTTATTTCTGGGTTTGTCAAATTTGGATATTAAATGTGAGACATGTATTTTAGCTAAAAGTCATCGAGTTATCCATTAAGGAGGAATAAGAGTGATATTTATTTTGCTTTGATTCACTCTGACATATGGGGTCTTTCCCCAAAATCTACTCTGTCTGGTTTTCGTTGGTTTGTGATATTTATTGATGACTGTACTCAGATGACTTGGATTTATCTGTTGAAACATAAAAATAAGGTTTTTCATGTATTTAAATCATTTCATAGAATGATTCAGACTCAGTTCGCAGCTAAGCTCCAAACACTTCGATTAAACAATGGTGGCGAGTATGTGAATCAACAGTTTCGTAATTATTTCCACCACTATGGACTAATTCGTGAGACCTCATGCCCCCAAACTCCACAACAAAATGGTATTGCAGAACGTAAGAATCGTCACATTCTTGAAACTGTTCGAGCTCTGTTACTTGGAGCTCATGTACCTAACCACTATTGGGGTGATGTTGTTGCCACGGTTGTCTATCTCATTAATCGCATGCCTTCAAAAGTTCTTGAGTTTAAGACTTCGCTACAATTCTTGTCAACGTATGTGTCATTACCCACAATATTGATGCTTCCACCACACATCTTTGGTTGTGTTGCATATGTTCACCTCCACAAGAATCAATGCATGAAACTTGATCCTTGTGCCATTCGTTGTCCTTTTTTGGGATATGCTACACACCAAAAGGGGTACTGATGCTATAACCAAGTTACTAGGCACATA